CATGGATTTAAGTTTTTGGCTAAGAGATGTAGGGAGAATGTAAAAAGAACTTTTTTACACAGATGTTAGTGATGACCTGGAACTCACCACTTGTAGGCACAGAGTGGATCAATGATTTCAGAAGGAAATTGGATGGGTATTTAAGGGAAATAAGCTTACAAAGGGCTACAGGAATTGAGTAAAGAAATGTGACTCCTTGCTTTGTTCTTCAGGAAGCTGGCATGAGTCAATGGGCTGAATGGTCTCCTGTGCCATAATAATGCAAGAACTCTACATGCACAGATATTTCAATGTACAAATTTAGTAGCCATGGCTGCACATTGATTGTTCTTTGTGATCTAATGCTTCCCTAAGCCTTGACAATGGCCAGCATGGAGGAAATGGAGGAGTGTTTCTCCTGGCCCTATATGTAAAGAACATGGGCAACAACCATTTGTTCTGATAGGCATCTGTTGCTGCCCCCTACCTCTAACCACCTCCCACATGCCCAAGGATTTCTTGAGTCCCCCTCAAATGTATGAATATGCTAACCACACGTTTTTTTTCCGAGGTTTTTAATTGGCATGGCGATATGTTAGTTCATGTTTATCACAACTCATTATTCATGCCAATCTCCATGCTTAGATATGGTAAAGGCAAATTTATCGGACCATAGGACTGCTCTCTTGTTAGCGAGAGAGACAACTGTGGTGATTTAACCTATGTGTCACCAAGCCAAGGAGATTAAGAGTGAGAATCCTTCATGATAACTTCTGTCAAATGTGGTAGTGCTGTTGGTGTCACCTTACATTGCAAACCAGCCAACCAACCAAATGAGCTAGATATGGACTAACCAACTGGCAAATAACAGAAACATATGCATATTATCAGCCAGCTCTTTTATATTTTTTTATTACCAGGGACTGAGAAGAGTTGGAAATTGTTTGAGGAAAAAATGTAAAGTTGAAGTCAGGTCAGAGGCTGTCAAATGGAAAGCTTTACTGAGCAAGGTTACTGCTGCAGCGTACAGAATTATGCAATTACAGATGGAATCTGTACTGGATCCAGGAGATAAATAAATTGGGCTGAGAGGTTAAACTTAATGCTTGATCATCTGCAAGTGACAAGCAGAAAATTGAAGAATATTATAGCAAAGCAATAGGCCATTCAATACATTTTCTCAAATTCAATCATTTATTATTGTATTCCAAAACTAGTTCTATTGTCTCATGATTTCCAAAAACCATTTAGATTTCTCTGATTCAAATAATTTTCTATCTTTTTCAGAACAGAAGTAATGAATTTGCTTCAACTATTTTAAATAGTAATGCATTGCATGTTCCAAAATCCCATTGCTTGTTCTTCGAACATCACTATCCATTCTCATATGGCAATTTTAATTTGATGATCCCTTCACTGCTGACTTCCAACCCAAGAAAATTGTCTTTCCTTATTAATTTATCAAATGTCTCATTTTAAAAAAAAACCTTCAGAAAGAAGGGTCCAGACCCAAAACATCAGCTTTCCTGCTCGTCTGATGCTGCTTGGCCTGCTGTGTTCATCCAGCTCTACACCTTGTTATCTCAGATTCTCCAGCATCAGCAGTTCCTGCTGTGTCTGAGTCAGTCTTTACTCATTTTAGATTTATTCACAGAGTGAAACATTACAAGTATATAGCTTCTAACTTAACCCTCACTCCAATGGCAATGGAATATTCTCTATCAAAAACCCCAATCAATCTGCTCCACTTCTGTTTAGTTAACTACAGTTGACTTAGAATTAACATTTGAAACCCAACACTGAGGTGAATAGTGAACCTGTACTTGCTAACAGTTAGACAGGCTTGGCTATTTTACCGTAAGTGATCTTCCCTGTCCAGTTAATGACGGCTAGTGGACTCTTGATGATTCTGGCCTAATCATTGAATCAATTTGAATCATTTAATGTCACGTGTATTCAATGTAAAAATACAGTGATAAGTGTGTACTTTTGCCATACATACATGGCGCCATTCACATTAACTTAGAATAAGACAAGAAAAACAAAAGATAACTTAAGAGAATCGAACTTTCCTTTTCACTGCCGCAGTCTGACTCAGGAGCTTCCAGCTGTGAGAGGTGAGTGCTGCTGAAACAGGTAGACAACCTCAGGGGTGCTTTGCAATGAAGGCACCTTCATACAGGGTGAATAAAAATCAAAAATTGATAACCTGATGACAGTATGCCGCTCAGGACAGAGGGAAAATCCCTCCAAATGATTTATTGAACAATAAGGGACAACCTTCCCTTGCCATGAGCCATTCTGTAAGAATGAGTGTCACCACCCCATGCAGTGGGCTTGATTAGGCCCTTAATTATGTAAATCAGCTTCCCCATTCTTTGGAACAGTCAGCTGACCCACCTTACAGATCACTGTTGGGAAACGGAGCCAGTGACAAGACAATAACAGAAAGCCATCTTGACGTGGCTTCCTTTATCTTGCTTTAACCACCTCACCCCCATCTCCATTTCTGTCACCTGGTGTCTAATAAAGTTCACTAGTGACCGAGATCTTTAGCTTATCCCATTCTCCTGCAGGGCTCTGCAAATTTTGTCCTCTTCAAGCATTTGCCTGATTCTTTTTTGTAAGTTCCGACTGAATCTACTCCCTTCACCCTTTCACATGTGCTTAACAGATCAAGACTTACTAAGTAAAACTAATGCTCTTGGTCTCACCTCTTTTTTTTAATCAATTATCTCACATCTGTGCTCCCCTAGGTACTGATATTTCTGCCAGTAGTAACATTTTTTGGGTATATTCCCTGTCAAACCCCCTCATAATTTTGAGAACCTCAATTAATTCTTCCCTTAATCTTCTTTACTGTCTAGGGAACAATCAGATGAATTTGAACTGACTATGCTCTCTTGTTTTACTAACTTCAATTTGAGACCTAGCTGTGCGTTTGCATAGTTCTTGAAAGTGGAGTCGCAGCTAGACAGGGTGGTGATGAAGGTGTTTGGCACACTTGCCTTCATTGGTCAGTGCATTGAGTATAGGAGTTGGGACATCATGTTGCGGCTGTAGAGGACATTGGTGAGGGCACTTTTAGAAGACTGCATCTCTCTGCTACAGCAAAGATGTTGTTAAACTTGAAAGAGATCAGAGAAGATTTACAAGGATGTTGCCTGGATTGGAAGATTTGAGCTGTATGAAGAGGCTGAATAGGCTGGGGCTTTTCTCTGTAGAGTGCCTGAGGCTGAGGGATGACCTTGTAGAGCTTTATAAAATCATGAGGCGTATGAATAGGGTGAATAGACAAGGTCTTTTTCTCATGGTAGGGGAGTTGGAAACTAGAGGGCTTAGTTCTAAGGTGAGAGAGAAAGATTTAAAAGGGACCTAAGGGCAACTTTTTCACATAAAGAGTGGCTCATGTATGGAACAAGCTGCCAGAGGAGGTTGTGGAGGTGGGCACAATTACATTTAAAAAGCATCTGGATGAGTACATGAATAGGAAGGGTTTAGAGGGATATGGGCCAAATGCTGGCAAATGGGACTAGATTAATTTAGGATATTTAGTCAGTGTAGACAATTTGGATCAAAGAGTCTGTTTCTGTACTGTATAACTCTGACTTTATTTACTCTAGAAAACATCTTCATAATTTAAGAAAAAACTCTATTAAATATTGCTCCAATGCAAATAGTTGCAGTATCTCAAGTGTGTCCTCATATCAACGCTTTCTCAGCATCTTCCTGGTGTATTTTGTTTGCTAATATGCTCTATGCTGTCAGCTCTTGTATTTCTGCCAGTCTTCCTCTATTTCTTGAGATATCTATTCTGTAGTAATTCAGTTTGTCCTGCAAGAGAGTAAAAAAGGAAATAAAAGCCTACATTTACATTGATATTATTGTGATCATAGGATGTTACAAAGTGAATTAAAGTGAATGAGGTACATTGGAATAGTCACAGTTGACACTGTAAATGGTCCTTGTTCAGGCTGGAGAAGGTTGGGAATGATGTACCTGACTGACATTTATTTTGTAATGTTGACAGGAAGACACCTTCTTAACACTGCTCACATGTTAAAACAATTGTATTTTACTCTGTTTCGGTGTTCTGTAAGTTTGCATTTCAGGCATTTTAGGGCAAATGTGTGAACAGAGAGCGAATGAAAAATAAACAAATTATACTTTTGGCAATGTTTCTGACTTCACTTTCCCTTATTCCATTTATTTTCTCCCATACCTGAAATTGGAAGGCTCTGTATTCTTAGGGGAGTGGATGATCTTGGTGCTTATCTGTTAACTGTCTTTTTCAATATAGTTTTGCCCTGTTGGCGGAAATTGAAATTAGGTAGGGTGGAGGGACTATGTGAGTTTGAGAGTAGGCTCATGTGTAGCATAAACAGCATTAATCCATTGGTCAAATGGCTTGTTTCTGTGCTGGAAATTGTATATAAGTCTGTTCGAATCTCTTGGGTAATTGTAACCATCAGGATTAAGATCACCCCTTGTGTTGTTAAAACTGAGTGACAGAATTGTATTTAATTAGGAGACATTTTAATGCTCTGCAGGCTTTTGAAGAATTCTGTTTCATCTCCAGAACATACTGAGATCTTTTCAAGTTCACAGTATTCATGAAATTTTTATTTCATTGTCAGACTGTAAACTCAATTAAGTTTGACACAAGTACTTTCATTAATGCCTCTCCAAAGAGACTGACCAGGTTTAGCATCCAGTGCTGCATTCAAGGGTTCCTTTGTGATTTATCATTTGGAAATGATAGCAGGCAGGACAACAAATTACAGCTGTTTGTGCAAGCAAGCATGACAGCCTCTGAAAGATAGGATCCTACGAAGGTGTGAATTAAAAGATGCTGAAATCTAACCACATAATAGTCAGCAACGCTCTTTCTGTTGTCTGTACTGCAGCATACTTTAAGTATAATTATATATTTTTAAAATTCATTCACTACCAACCTGTCAGTAAATTAATAATTGAAAAGTTAAGTACTTCATACAGCATTTTATATTTTTCTTCTGCAGGGACTGTGCGCTCAAACTTTCTTTGGTCATCTGCATTCCTGCAATGATGCCACCTTTAACTTGAAGGTGAGTTCTTTCTGCAAGTGCTTATTTACATAAAACCTGAAATTATATTCAATATAGCTAACACGAATCTCAAAAAGAAACCTTAAGTTTTACCAACTTCCTTGAAGATGAAATGGAAAGAGTGAATGATGCAATATTTTAAGTCCTCAAAATACCTTTGATAAGATAGCACATAATAGACTCATGACTGATGTAGGAGCATGTTCAGTCATGGGAAAAACAAGGGGAGGCAAGCCATTACAAAACAATGGAGCATAGAAGTTAGGGGAGCAGTGTTTAACATAAATCATTGTTGGGACCATTGACATTTACACTTTACATAAAAGATAATGGGGCTGGATTACACATTTTCTCATTGGGTGTGTTTTTGAAGGAGACAGTGCATCAAATAAAGTGGCTGACCAGACCACCACATTCTCACCCACTTCTGAGCTCATCTCCATAACATAGGAGATGGGTCAACAAAATCAACTGCCTCCAGTAATTACTGATTAAGGGTTAATTGAGCAAGGCTGGCAGCATTTGTGAAGAGAAAGCAAAGTTGACATTTCAGGTTTAGTGACCTGAAGAATGGTCACTGAGCCCAAAACATTAACTCTGGGTTCTCTCTACAGACCTTGATGATATGCTGCCCATTGACAGTTGACGTGGTAAAGCAGGCAGAGCAAGTAGCCATTCTTTTAAAAAGGTTTATCAAAAGTGAGAAAGAAGGCTGGTACGATGTTCTGGGAAGTGTGGTGTTCAGAAATTGCGAGCAACATCTCCTCACAACCTTCCCTGTGGAAGAGATAGTAGGAACTGCAGATGCTGGAGAATCTGAGATAACAAGGTGTAGAGCTGGATGAACACAGCAGGCCAAGCAGCATCAGAGGAGCAGGAAAGCTGACGTTTCGGGCCTAGACCCTTCTTCAGAAATGGGGGAGGGGAAGGCGGTTCTGAAATAAATAGGGAGAGAGGGGGAGGTAGATAGAAGATCGATAGAGGAGAAGACAGGTGGAGAGGAGACAGATAGGTCAAAGAGGCAGGGATGGAGCCAGTAAAGGTGAGTGTAGGTGGGGAGTTAGGGAGGGGATAGGTCAGTCCAGGGAGGACAGACAGGTCAAGGGGGTGGGATGAGGCTAGTAGGTAGGAGATGGGGATGGAGCTTGAGTTGGGAGGAGGGGATAGGTGGGAGGAAAGACAGGTTAGGGAGGCGGGGACAAGCTGGGCTGGTTTTGGGATGCGGTAGAGGGAGGGGAGATTTTGAAGCTTGTGAAGTCCACATTGATACCATTGGGCTGCAGGGTTCCCAAGCGGAATATGAGGTGCTGTTCCTGCAACCATTGGGTGGCATTGTTGTGGCACTGCAGGAGGCCCAGGATGGACATGTGTCTGAGGAATGGGAGGGGGAGTTGAAATGGTTCGCGACTGGGAGGTGCAGTTGTTAAGTGCAAACCAAGCGTAGGTGTTCCGCAAAGCGGTCCCCAAGCCTCCGCTTGCTTTCCCCCATGTAGAGGAGGCCACAACGGGAACAGCGGATTCAGTATACCACATTAGCAGACGTGCAGGTGAACATCTGCTTGATGTGGAAAGTCTTCTTGGGGCCTGGAATGGGGGTGAGGGGGGGAGGTGTAGGGGCAGGTGTAGCACTTCCTGCGGTTGAAAGGAAAAGTGCCGGGTGTGGTGGGGCTGGAGGGGAGTGTCGAGCGGACAAGGGAGTCCCGGAGAGAGTGGTCCCTCCGGAAAGCAGATAAGGGTGGGGACGGAAAAATGTCTTTGGTGGTGGGGTCGGATTGCAGATGGTGGAAGTGTCGGAGGATGATGCATTGGATCTGGAGGTTGGTGGGGTGGTACGTGAGGATGAAGGGGATTCTGTTTTGGTTGTTATTGCGGGGAGGGGGTGTCAGGGATGAGTTGCGGGAAATGCGGGAGATACGGTCGAGGGCATTCTTGACCACTGAGGGGGCGATGTTGCGGTCCTTGAAAAACGAGGACATCTGAGATGTTCGGGAGTGGAATGCCTCATCCTGGGAGCAGATGCGGCGGAGGCAAAGGAACTGGGAATAGGGGATGGCATTTTTGCAGGAAGGTGGGTGGGAGGAGGTGTATTCTAGGTAGCTGTGGGAGTCCGTGGGCTTGAAATGGATATTGGTTTCCAGGTGGTTGCCAGAGATAGAAACAGAGATCCAGGAAGGAGAGAGAGGTATCCGAGATGGTCCAGGTGAACTTAAGGTTGGGGTGGAAGGTGTTGGTGAAGTGGATGAACCTCCACAGCCAGCAGCTCCAGAGGAGACAATAGCACCCAGCCCTGCCGAGTCTTCACCATCCCCCCAGACCTCCCCCTTACTGAGGACGAACGGTCAGTCCTCAGTAAAGGGCTCACCTTTGTCCCCCTCCACCCAAACATCGACGAATACCGCTCACGCTTGGACGTTGAACAGTTTTTCTGCCGCCTCCGCCTGTGCGCTTACTTCTTTAACAGTGAGCCTAACCCTCCCCCCACTGACCCCTTCTCCCGCCTCCAACACACCCCCTCCTCCTGGACACCACCCCAAGACCTCCTACCCTCCATCGACCTCTTCATCTCCAACTGCCGTCGTGACATCAATCGCCTCAACCTCTCCACCCCTCTCACCCACTCCAACCTCCCCCATGGAACGTGCAGCCCTCTGCTCCCTCCGCTCCAACCCCAACCTCAGCATAAAACCCGCAGACAAGGGAGGCGCAGTTGTAGTATGGCGCACTGACCTCTACATCGCCGAGGCCAAGCGCCAACTCTCTGAACCTCCTCCTACCGCCCCCTTGATCATGATCCCATCCCCGACCACCAAACCATCATCTCCCAAACCATCCACAACCTCATCACCTCAGGTGACCTCCCACCCACAGCCTCCAACCTCATCGTTCCCCAACCCCGCACCGCCCGCTTCTATCTCCTTCCCAAAATCCACAAACCTGATTACCCTGGTCAACTCATTGTTTCCGCCTGCTCCTGCCCCACCAAAGTTATCTCCACTATCTCGACTCCATTTCCTCCCCCTTGGTCCAGCAACTCCCTACCTACGTCCGTGACACCACCCACGCCCTCCACCTCCTCCAAAACTTCCAATTCCCTGGTCCCCAACACCTCATCTTTACCATGGACATCCAGTCCCTATACACCCGCATTCCCCATGCAGATGGCCTAAATGCCCTCCGCTTCTTCCTGTCCCGCAGGCCCAACCAGTCCCCCTCCACCGACACCCGCATCCGCTTAGCTGAACTCGTCCTCACCCTCAACAGCTTCTCTTTCAATTCCTCCCACTTACTACATACAAAGGGGGTGGCCATGGGTACCCGCATGGGCCCAAGCTATGCCTGTCTCTTTGTAGGTTACATGGAACAATCCCTCTTCTGTAGCTACACTGGCCCTAAACCCCAACTCTTCCTCCGCTACATCGATGACTGTATCGGCGCTGCCTCGTGCTCCCACAAGGAGCTCGAACAGTTCATCCACTTCACCAACACCTTCCACCCCAACCTTAAGTTCACCTGGACCATCTCGGATACCTCTCTCTCCTTCCTGGACCTCTCTGTTTCCATCTCTGGCAACCACCTGGAAACCAATATCCATTTCAAGCCCACTGACTCCCACAGGTGTCTAGAATACACCTCCTCCCACCCACCTTCCTGCAAAAATGCCATCCCCTGTTCCCAATTCCTTCGCCTCCGCCGCATCTGCTCCCAGGATGAGGCAATAACAACCAAAACAGAATCCCCCTCGTCCTCACGTACCACCCCACCAACCTCCAGATCCAATGCATCATCCTCCGACACTTCCGCCAACTGCAATCCGACCCCACCACCAAAGACATTTTTCCGTCCCCACCCTTATCTGCTTTCCGGAGGGACCACTCTCTCCAGGACTCCCTTGTCCGCTCGACACTCCCCTCCAGCCCCACCACACCCGGCACTTTTCCTTGCAACCGCAGGAAGTGCTACACCTGCCCCTACACCCCATCCCAGGCCCCAAGAAAACTTTCCACATCAAGCAGATGTTCACCTGCACACTGTATACTGTATCCACTGTTCCCGTTGTGGCCTCCTCTACATGGGGGAAACCAAGCGGAGGCTTGGGGACCGCTTTGCGGAGCACCTACGCTCGGTTTGCACTAAACAACTGCACCTCCCAGTCGCAAACCATTTCAACTCCCCCTCCCATTCCTCAGACAACATGTCCATCCTGGGCCTCCTGCAGTGCCACAACGATGCCACCCGAAGGTTGCAGGAACAGCGCCTCATATTCCGCTTGGGAACCCTGCAGCCCAATGGTATCAATATGGACCTCACAAGCTTCAAAATCTCCCCTCCCTCTACCGCACCCCAAACCAGCCCAGCTTGTCCCCGCCTCCCTAACCTGTCCTTCCTCCCACCCATCCCCTCCTCCCACCTCAAGCCCCACCCCCATCTCCTACCTACTAGCCTCATCCTGCCCCCTTGACCTGTCCGTCCTCCCTGGACTGACCTATCCCCTCCCTAACTCCCCACCTACACTCACCTTTACTGGCTCCACCCCTGCCTCTTTCACCTGTCTGTCTCCTCTCCACCTATCTTCTTTATCTAAAATCTATCCGCCTCCCCCTCTTTTCCTATTTATTTCAGAACCCCCTTCCCCTTCCCAATTTCTGAAGAAGGGTCTAGGCCCGAAACGTCAGCTTTCCTGCTCCTCTGATGCTGCTTGGCCTGCTGTGTTCATCCAGCTCTACACCTTCTTCCCTGTGGAAGACAATCCACTCCCTTTTTATCTGCTTGCCCTCCAAACTCACCATCTTCCACCTCCTTGTCACTTCCCCTAAGCTGGCCCAATCTTTCCACCTCACATGATTTTGAAAAGGAAGTTTAATATTCACCAATTTTACTGAATTCTTTAAAGATCTAACAGAAAGTGTAAACAGGGTAATACAATAAATGGGCTGGATTTCAGGGAGTGGAAAAAAAATCATATTACCCCTCCACTGCTATTTTCTTTACCATTAAGCAAT